TCAAATATCTTGAGAGGACTTTGCATGTTGATTAAAGTAAGTTTGTTCTACATGCGAGTATTTTTCAAACTTCAGTGTATACAAGAATCACCTGAGATCTGTTTAAAATACAGATTCCCATGCCCCACCTTGGAAGATTCTAATTCAGCATATCTGGGGTAGGACCTACATTTTCAATTCATCTCAGTGGTTTTGTTCAACCAGTCAATATTTGAAAAAATCGAAGAGGAAAATATTTTCCTCAACTTTTCCAACTAGTCCTAGAGATGAAAAGGAGAATGTTAGGAAAATATTTCCTTTCAAAAGCCTCAATTTCCACTGTTCTGTAGGTGACAAGACCATCAGCTGAGAGAGAAGAGTACACAGGGGCTAAAAGAGACCCACTGTGATAAACTGCAGGAACTGAGCAAGAATACACAAAAGAACTCCCAGTGCTGAGACTCCAGTTTAGGCTGAATACCATAAATTGATAGTAGCATCAATCCACAGTTATTTTTCTACCTATACATTAAAATAATACCCACTTACACCCCAGCTGAGTGGCTTAGTTGGTTGGAGTGTCATTCTGTACATGAAAAAAGATTGCAAGTTTGATTCCCAGTCAGAGCACATACCTAGATGCTCAGTAAATATTTGTGGGTTTGATTCCCAGTCTGGGCACATATGGGAATCAACCAATTGATGTTTCTCTCTTACAATGATGTTATGCCCCCCTCCCCCAATAATATCCTCAGGTGAGGATTAACAAAACAATAAAATAATGCCCACCTAGTACAATTATTATGAAGATTTAATTACACATTTAAATCCAAGAAGTGCATTGAAAAGTATAAGAGAAGGGTTCAACAGACTGGATGAAACAGAAGGATAAGTCAGTAAAATATGATTTGTCTAACCACCTGAAACTAATTCTATATAATGAAAGGCTAATATGCAAATTGACCAAACAGCAGAATGACCAGTTGCTAAGATGTACACTGACAACCAGGGGGCGGATGCTCAACACAGAAGCTGCACCCTGGTAATCAGTTCACTCCCACAAGGGAAGGCTCCTCAGCCAGAAGTTGGGCTCATGACTGGCAAGCACCGAAGTAATGGAGTCCAGAGCCTCTCCAGCTTCCGAAGCAGCACTAAGGATGTCCAACTGCTGGCTTAGGGGGGGTTGGGCCTAAATCGGCAGTCGGACATCCTTCTGGCAATCTGGGACACTGTGAGCATCAGTGACCACACTTTTCATACAGATGAAAGGCATCTTGCTGTTGTATGGGCAACTACATTTTCTTGCCAATTATAAATAGTACATAACATGATCCTTCTGAGGCAGTAGTACCATTTTCGCCATCTTAAGGGTAGAAAAACTGAAGCAGAGATAAGTTATATAATTGGCTTTGTCACACAGTTTTTTTTTTAAAATATATTTTATTGATTTTATACAGAGAGGAAGGGAGAGAGTTAAAAACATCGATGAGAGTCATCCATCAGCTGCCTCTTGCACACCCCTTACCGGGGATATGCCCGCAACCAAGGCACATGCCCTTGACCGGAATCGAACCCTGGACCCTTCAGTCCCCAAGCCGACGCTCTATTCATTGAGCCAAACCGGTCCCGGCTGTCACACAGTTTTAAGTGTCAGAATCAGGCTGACTACAAAATGTGCAAGCCAGAGTCCATGCATACCATCGCTACATCATCCTGTTTTTTGTTAGAGTAGGTTTTAATTTCTAAATCTAAGAGACTGTTCCCAATATATAGGTGAGAGTTCCTAGGCCTGGTCAGTGATCAGGGCCATCTTTGGGCAGGGCAATCAGCCACCACCCCCCACCGCCCTGGCTGGTGGCTTGGCACTACCCCAGTACAGCCTGACCCCTTCTACCCTCCCCCACCCCTCATTGCCACCACCAGTCGCCCCTGGGGCGGGAGCTGCCCCAAACTCACTTTTCATGACAAGAATGCCTTTTCCATATTCATCAAAATGAAGCAAGAATCTGCCACATTCTTCATGAAGTCTTCTTTCATCATCTTGAGAGAGTTCTTTCATTTCTAAATACCCCTAACCACTCGCCTGCACCATGGGAAGGCACATTTTGCCTTGTACTGTAACTGAACACACTGTATTTTCTCTAAGGACTAAAAGGTCCTTGAAGGTTGGGGCAGCTTCCCCAATATCTTTGCTTGCCCACAGTGCATGGTACAAAGCAGATGCTTAATAAATATTTAACTGAAGTACTTACCTAATTGCCTTTCCTTCCTAAAAATAGCACTACTAAACATCTAAGTGATTAGGCAAGTACTCAGAAATGGCAGGTCCCCATAGACACTGAACACCTAATCCTCACTCTGTAAAAAATTTCAGGTCATATTATGTAGACCATAAGACTTAAAAAAAATTTTTTTTAAGTAGTATTATCCAGATGCTGCCTAAAATTGCTCCAGCTACAAATATATCTGAGGAAATTAGGCCAATCTGAAATAATAACTGTGTAAATCAAAGAGATTTATCTTGCTATCTTTCAGCCAAGCTAGAACCAAGTTGAAATCACAACTTTTCCCTATATTGTGAAGAGCTTCTTAAGAATACAGCAAGGATGAGGAGCAGCCAAGGTCACATCACACCAGGCAGCGTAGAGAACCTCAATCTTCCTGGAAGCTGAACTGACTTTCCAGAGGATGCCTCAATAAGCACCAGGTGACCAAATAATCATCTTGATCATAATCACTGCATGAACCTGCTAACTCCAATTCAACTAAAACCTCATAATTAATGGAGACATCAACACTTCCACCTCCACAAAACAGACATGCCCACCTCCCTCCAACCCCCACAAAAAATTAGATTTTGGAAACAGAATTCATTTTTAATCCTAAGACTGCTATAATTTAAATATAGAAACCAAGTGACTCCAAAGTATTAAGATAATCAGTGAGTCAATAGAATCAAATAGAAAGTTAACTGCTCAGAACCAACCCCACCAAAATAAAAGATAAATTATTACATCTGCTAGTGACAAACAACATACATAATTACCTTTTGGACTGTACATAAGGATCATTGGGAGCCCTTTTAAATACAGATAGTTAACACTACAATTGATTCCTTATAACTTTCCCCTTAAATCACATACAGCATAGGATAAAATAGGTTTACAGTTGTTCATATGGAAAACAATACAATAATTAATAAAAGTACAAGAATAAACTCTACATTTTACATACTCACAATTGGAAACCTACTTTTGCCACACCCTGCATAATAAAAGAGAAAATATGAGGCCCAAATGATTTTAATTGGGATACTATCAACTACATATTACTGTTCAGATTAAAATACTGCTCTGCACTCTGGACTCTAAATATCTCCTGCTGAACTTTACTACCTCGAAAGTAGAAATTTGGGAGTCAAAAGTATGTTTTAAGGAAACTGATCACCAGATTAATATCCTCCTTCAAAAAATGAATCTAAAATTTGATAATCAATTCAGATATTTACAGTATTTATTAGCCAAGTTTCTAAAAAGCCTTGTTAAGCAGCAGTAACTAATTACACTAGGGGGCCTGAGGCAGAAGGTTAGGATTCAAAGCAAACAATTAAAATAAGATAATCAACACACTGAAACCATCTAAAGTTAACAGTAACTTAAGAAATCCTTAGAATTATAGTCATCAGTTTCAAAATCTTTTAAAAACAAAAAACCCTTACTTTTTAAAAAATCACTAAAAAAGTGAAGCAAATACAAAAACTAAAAATATTTCACATTTCAGGATTTTGTATTAATTCACAATTCAGAAAACTCATTAATGCATCTCAAAACCTTCTAAATGCTTTTTGTAAGCTGTCTTATATGATGATTACAACAAATACATAATTCAAAAAGTGTTTAAAGCAGACATAACATTTTAGCAAGTGTTAAGATAGGTTTGAAAGAACAAAACAAGCAGAGACAGAGCAGGGAAAATGAAAACTGATAAACCATAGGCTGATTCCTGGAGGGCAGAGCTGGACTTGGATTGACAGGAGGGAGATTTCAAAATATATTCATAGGACAAATTACACCAAAAAAAAAAAAAAACCAAAAAAAAAAAAAACCTGATTCATGCCTTTGTTACTGACATAAGCATATGTTTTAAAATGTACTTTTAACCTTTGGACAAACAAAGTGGTATCAGATACCTTACAGCCCTGCTTATATTAATCATGTTTCACGTTACTACAGTCCAAATCTCTTAACAAAATCCACGTCCGTTTTCCTAATGAAACACTACATAAATGGAAAGGCTTTATATCCTCTAAGTAAAGGTTACCTTATTTTTTTTTTTTTTAACTTGGTTGAAGTTTCAGTTTTGCTTTATCATCTATCCTAGAACACCTCCCTTGTGGGACGTGGTAAAAAACGGACATACCCTCCTCCTGTCAAGCCGGAAAGCTCCAACACAAAGACACGGAGCGCACCAAGTGCAGTAATTCTTCCAAACTGAGCCTCTCCGGCACCCCCTCGCCGCCCTCCCCGCCCCCCAGCAGATATGTCTATTAAATCGGTGTCTGTTCTCCCCCTCACACAACAAAGAGAACTTCTCACCGCATGAAATTGCCGCTGAATGGACACCAGAAAGCAGGATTTGCATAATTCCTCCAACACCCGGTCGGGGAAGGAGGGGACGAGGGGGCCCGAGCGAACCGGTAGAGATAATCTCCCGGATTCGGCCCGGGAAGACCCGGCTCCTAAGAGCGCTCCCCGCGGGCGGGCGGGCGGGGTGGGGGCTACGGTGCCGCGCCTCCCCGAGGACTGGGCGTGGGGGACGGCGGCGGCGGAGGAGGAGGAGGAAGAGGAGGAGGAGGACGACGACGACGACCAGAGCGCATTAGCCCCGCACATCAGCGGCGCCAAAGCCAAGATGGGGAAACGACAATGCTGGAGGAGGAGGAGGACGGGAGCGCCCGACCCGGGGATGGGCCGGGGCGAGGGGGCGGCGGGCGGAGCGGAGACACCACGCGGGCCACTTACTTTTCGGAGGGGGGTTAAATATATGAGCTAAGCCCTTATGGTCCCGCCGGCCGCCGCACCGAGGGAAACGGGACCTTGGGAGAGAAAAACAGACAAAAACAAAAAACAAAACACACAGTGTGAGGAGAGAGGCGCAGCCCGGCCGCGCGGCCCCTCCCGGGGCGCCCCCCGGCCGCACCCGCTCCGACCCGCGGGGAGGGGGCCACCCCGGGCGGCCCGAGGGCCGGGGGGCGGAGGACGAGGCTCTCGGCGAGGAGGCGGCAGCGGCTCCGGCAAATCCCCCCGCCTCCCGCCCGGGAGGGGACAAGAGCGACGAGTCTTTTCGGTCGGACCCGGTCCCACCCCTCCACCCTCCCCGCCGTGCACACCACAGCGAACACAAATACACACACACACACACACCGACCCGAGCGTCGAGGGTTCACTCCCCGGCCGCCGCCGCCGCTGCCCCCCGCGGCCATGACACCCCACTTGGCTCGGTCAGGCGGACCCCGGGCCTGTGACAGCTCCGGCTCCCTCCGCCCCCATCGCCGCCTCACGCCCCGCACGCGCCCGAGCGCCCGCCAGCCCGCCCGCCGCGCGTGCGCGTGGGGCCGGGGGCGCGCGCCGCCGGGGAGCGTGGGGGAGGGGCGGCGCGGGACGGGGAAGGCGCCCCCGAGCGCGGAGGAGGCCGGGGCTGCGCTGGGGCCCAGCATGTCCTCCCCCTTCCCCTCCCCGCCCCCAGGCCCGGTCCGGCCAGGTTCGGTCCGGTCCGGCCCGGCGCTGGGCTCGGCGGGACGCGCGGCGGCGGCGACCCCCGTCAAGTGTCAGCCCCGCGGGGCCGAGTCTCCACAATGAGGGGCAGGCGGCGCCGGGCCGACCCGCGAGGCAGGGGGGAGGACGGCGAGCCCCGCCGCCCGCGAACCCGCCCCGCGGAGGGCGCGCGCCCAGGCCCGAGCCCGGGGAGCCCGCCCGGAGGTCGCGCGCCCGCGCTCCGGGGGGTGGGGGAGGGGGGCGCCCGAGCCAAAGAGGGCGGGCGGGCCGGCCGGAGCGAGCGGCAATGCCTGCCCCGGCTCCCTCCCACGTCCCGGGCGGCCGGCGGCGGGGCGGCCCGGGGCCCCGGGGCGGCGGGAAGAGGCGCTCACCTACACAGTGGAGGAGCTTGTGGCGCCAGGAGTCCAGTTCCTGCCGAAAGCCGCGCTTCTCAACGGAGCATTGCTGCCGCCTACACACCCTCGCCATCTTCTGCCGCCCGCCCGGCCGGCCCAGCCTCCGCCGCCGCGGCCCCGCGCACGCCCAGCCGCGTAGCCCCGGGGCCGCGCACGCACCCGCCGCCTGGGCGTCGCGCCTCCCGCCCGGGGCGGCGCGGGGGCGGCGCCGGCCTCACCTCGCCGTGGCCCCGGCGTGGCCCCGGGAGGCGACCTGGTGCACGCCCCGCCCCGGGCGCGCGCGGCCGGCCGGCTGGGCTGCGGTTCCCGCCCGCGGTCCTTGGCCGTGGACGCCGCCGCCGCCGCCGCCGCCGCCGCCGCCTGGGGCAGCCCAGCCCGGCGCCTTCCTGCGGCCGGAGCGCAGCCCCCGCGCCCCCGCGCCGCCGCTCTGTCCTCCGCGCTCCCCTCCTCGCCTCCTCGGGGCTTTGGGGTCTCAGGCCGGCCCCGTGGGTCGCTCCCAGCCCGCCGATGACCAGGCACCAACTGTTGCAAATTTCGTGGAACTGCTTCTCTAAACTTTCCGGTCGAAACGGCTCCTCCCACGAGCCTTCTGTTTAAGAAGCAAAATTCAGAATAAATACCCGGTGCCCGTGGAGGCACTGAGCCCTAAACATTTTAAAAGATAAAAGTTTGATACGTGTTATGAAGTCTTTGGGAGGCTTACACAGCATTCGTAAGTCCGGTAAAAAAAAAAAAAAAAAAAAAAAATTGAAATCAAGCGTTTTGATTTCAATTAAAAAAACAAGAGGTTTCTGCTAGCAAGACTGAGCATAGGTAAAATTCTCAGGTGGACAGGTTAAGAATCCCCCTTCTGTGTTGGGTGGAAAGCGATTTAAGAAAATTGTGCTAAAAGTGGGAATGGCATGTGAAAAGAAGGCTTAGTTAATAATGATTAAAGCGGAGTACTGGAAGGGACACAATTACGTCTTCCAGGAAAGACTGGGGAAAAAGTATATTCGAAGGGAGTTTTCAGGTGGGGAAACTCAGAATAGTGAAATAATCCTGGGAGGGGCACTAGCTATTCCATGCAAACACCAGGCTGGCCTTAATTGCTTGACTGTTAACTTGAAAGTGAAAAGAGAAGAATGAAAGGGGGAAATCAGAAAGGGGGGTAGGGAGGAAAAACAACGCAAAATAGATCCCGCTTTAACAATAGGCCCAGGACCCTGGAATGTCGGCTCTTCCTGGTCTTAGGGTTTAAGATTAAAGACGGCGCATTCCTGCTTTTAGATATGTAAACTTACATTCGAAGACTTAATTTTAATTATTGTAGTAGGTAAAACAAAATAAGTGGTTGGCCTCAGGGATCCCATTGGTGTATTGATTTATGTCTCTTCAAGGGTAGTGTGGTCTTGGTTCTCTGGACCAGGAACTTGTGGAATCCTTGGGTTGGAGTGGTTTGAGATGAATGAATGGAAAAGCACCTTCTGCTCCCCAAATATTAAAAACCAATGACTTTTCCCCAGTTCTCAAAATTCCACAATGCTTCACTGACTTAAGAGTACGGTCAAATGAACAAGCTATTATTAAGTCGTGAAGTATTGAATTTCTGTGTACATACAACTGTCCTAAGGGGTGAGGGGAGAGCACAAATATGAGATAAAAGACTGAAACTTCCTTTCGTCACCGCTAGGTGGTAGATTGTCATCTTTTGTAGCTTTTCACCAAATTTCTATGGTTTTTAGAGGAAGTTATGTTTCACAAAGTTTGAAATATGTGAATATGTAACTATCAAATAAATTAATAATGAATGTATTTTCCAATGACCCCATATGTTTTGTTTAAAAGTAATCAAACCAATGGTAATACTTCCAACATAATCTTAGTCTCACAAAGATTAAGAGGATCTTAGTGCCCCAGCCGGTTTGGCTCAGTAGATAGAGCCACGGCCTGTGGACCAGAGTACCTCGGTTTCAGGCCCCTCTCCCACTCGGGCCCGGTGGGTGCTCCTGCAGGAGGCAACCAAAGAATGTGTTTCTCTCACATCAATATTTCTCTCTCTTTCCCTCTCTCTTCCACTCTCTCTAAAAATCAATGGGAAAATATCCTTGGATGAGCGTGGACCTATGAACCAGGAGGTTCACAATTTGATTCCTGTGCATGTGCCATAATAACTTACTCAAATTCACACAACAGATAGTTTCAGGCTCAATCCTCAGTGTGGAGCACGCAGGAGGCAGCCAATCAATGATTCTCTGTCATCATTGATGTTTCTATCTCTCTCCCTCTGTCTGAAATCAATAAAAAGACAATAAAATAAAATTTTAAAGAAAGCTTAAAGTTGAAATGTATTAATTAGAAAAAATTAAAAATATATATTAATAGTTTCAAGAGGATGTAGGGATATTTTTTATTTTTAAAAAGTATTTTTTCCATAGCCCTTGATACCATATTCTGTGCTGATTTATATTTACCTTAACAAATGGCATTTTGTTCATCAGATTTTCAGGGGAAAACAATCAGGCAGTTCACTTTTATCTTTGTTAGGAGACTATAAGGAGAGTGGAGATGGGGGAGAGAATCACCAGAAAGGAGTTATTTATAAGTAGGCAGCAAACAAAGGATGTTTCCATGGAAAATGTGTTTTCATTTTGAAACCTGAAAAGGTATAAAATGCATCTGAGTTAGGGAAAATGAAAGTGTTTAAAACCAAAGGAAGTCCTTAGGAAAATTTTTAAGAAGTATAAGAAAGTTTGGTAAAATCACAGAAGTACTTATATCTTTGTTGAGTTTTAGCAAAATGGGCATTGCCAAGTTTATATCTGATTTGCCCATCTAACAAAACCGACTGAGCAACCACCCAAACTTGTTTTCATTTAATCTTTTAAAAGATTGGTTATTCAGAGTCTACTATGTGCCAGCTACACAAAAAAAAAAAAAAAAAAATGGGTGGCTGGTTCTGGTCAATGAACTAATTGTGAGCAGAAGTGATACCTAAGACTCCAAGACTAGTAAGTGATTTTCAAGGGTCTGAAGATGGAGGTTCAGAGTCATTGGAGATTTAGATCAACTTCCGGGTTGGAAGCAGAGCAGATAGAGCAGGGCATAGAATTCACATCTGCTCATTCTTTATGCAATGGTCTTCCAACTCTGGCCTTTAGGAGTACTAAATATTATATGATACTAGGTTATCATAAAGAGTGGTTTCATCATTGTGAATGAATCTTAATTATGTTCCTTGTAGATAACATAGTAACTATTACTATAAAAAATAATACAAATATCTTAAGTACCTATCAGTTTGGGGGAAAGGGGATCAGAGTAACATATGAATAATGATAGGAGTTACTATTTATTGAGTGGGGACTCCAAGCTATGTCCTAAGCTAAGCACTTTATATTTTTATTGATTTCAGAGAGGAAGGGAGAGAAGAGAGAGAGATAGGAGCATCAATAATGAGAGAGAATTATTGATTGACTACCTCCTGCACGCTCCCTACTGTGGATTGCGCCCACAATCCTGGCAGGTGCCATGATTGGGAGTGAAACCTCAACCCCCTGATTCATAGGTTGATGCTCAACCGCTGACTCTCGCCAGCCAGGCCCTTTCATATATTATTTAATACTTAAAACAATTCTGTAAGATCGGTACTGTTTTCAATCTCATTTTAGAGATGGGGGAAAGAAAACACATAGAGTTTAAATAACTTATTCAAATTCACACAACAGATAGTTGGAAGAATTTGCACTCAAGAGATTCCAATAATTTGATTCTCCTCTTTTTTATGTAGTGCGTCAAAGGTCAAGGTATTAGTGAATGCCTTTTCAAACATTTAAGCACTGTTAATTGTCACTAAAACTGTGCTATACTAAATGTCTTGAATAATTACATATATTTACGACTCATTATTTTGCCTGTAGCACAATTCTATAGTTTCTTCTCAAGCATTATCTTATTGATCCAATAACAGTTCTTCCCAAATCAATCAAAATGCATAAATAACAAGGCATACTCTATGGAGTTCTTGAAATACTGTAGATACAGTACAGCATGAAACAAAGAACAGTTCATCTATTCGTGGAATGGGTGACATCTCATATTCAGAAGAGGAAAAATAAGTACACTACAGTGATGAATGACATCTCAATCTTTTTCTCACATTCAGTTTAAAAAAAGAAAACATAATCTTCACATGTTACTTGTCGTGGATGTCATCTTGGCATAAAAAAATTTCCCTGCAGAACTTTTCTTGAAAATTACTCTGTAGATCTCTCTGAAAGCTTTCATTCTCTCAGTCAGACTCTTCTTGACAGACTCTCCTAAGATGCAGTGTC